TTTCGTATCATAGTAGCGATGAGATTTTCCAACCCACCCAAAATCTCATCTTTGTAGGCTTCTAAAGTTCATCAGCCTCTCAGGACAAAACTATCAAGATTTACGTTTCACAAAATTTATGATAGGCTGCAGAAGATGATTTTTCAATTCGTTTAGATCGCAGATGGTGTTGTCAAAATGCTGGTCATACATAGTATATTGAATTTCGGATCTATACGTTACTCAATAAAAAATGGATCAAGGAGGTTGAGTCTGCACTTACAAGCAACGCCGTCATCAGTTCATAAATAGTTATGTTTTAAGGGCAAATGGACGGGGAAATCTGTAATGTCTGAAATATGTCCAAAAGGAGCGCAACATTATCAAGGCTTTGAACATATAAATAATATCCTGACATAAAAAAATTGACATGTACATCTTAAATTACCCGTAAACTTTTAAATAGTTTTTGAAGGATAACACTAATAACCACAAGATTTGTGACATGATAACTTTTGGGTGTATCACATGTATTTTGAGACCCTTTAATCAAATCTAAAAACAAATTTTTTCTATCACCCCCAGATATTCGGTAACATCTACTTTTATGAATTACAATACGTAACATCTCATATTGCTGCATTTCTCGGCGTTTATGCGATGACGCACATATATAATGTTAAGACTTGTCTATTCCTGTTCATTATATGCGAGCTCTATGTTTAGAGAGCATATTGCGTTTATTAGTAGACTAATAGCAGCCGAGTCAGTTACGTTTTCTGTGTTGAAGGGTACTGATATGTTCTGAGTACTGTTAATTTTTGTTAAAACGGTGTGTTGTTTTTAGTTTATTGTGATCGACACTAGCTTTATGGACAATGTCTAGAAATTCTGCAAATAGTGCGAACAGTTTTTTGTTATGTGTGCGGAGAGCTAACTTTTAAATCCCAAAACCGTAGTTTTACTCCTCTTGTGTTGAAAGCATACGAACTTTATTTTGGAATTCAAGTTGGCGACCAGGATAAACTATGGGCCCCTCATATATGTTGTAAGACTTGTGTAACGTTGTTAACAGGTTGGTTAAGAGGCAACAATCGTAAAATGTCGTTTGCGATACCATTGGTTTGGAGAGAACCGAGAGACCATACTACTGATTGCTATTTTTGTCTCACGAATATTAAAGGTATTGGACCAAAATCGAAACATACTTTAAAATATTTCAATTTGCCATCAGCTTTGCGGCCCGTTAAGCATAGTGATGAAATTTCTGTCCCAGTTCTACCAGAATCTTGGTCTTTGGATGAAAAAGCCGAATCCACCGATTCTGAAAGTGATGGTACAGAAAGCGTAAAAATTTCCGATCCTTCGTTTGACCTGCCAGGGTGTTCAACAGCGCCGCTGTTGATCACACAGGGCGAACTTAATGACTTAGTTCGAGAGTTAAATCTGTCAAAATCCCAGTTAGAACTTTTAGCGTCAAGATTAAAAGGATGGAACCTTCTCCACGGTGATGTCAACATTACTTTTTAACGAAAACGGCAACAAGACGTCACACACTGTCAAAAAAGGGAGTTGATATATTGCTCCAATGTCAACAATTTGTTTGACACGTTAGGACAGAAACATGATCTAAATGATTTTCGCCTGTTCATTGATTCCTCTAAGCTTAGGTTAAAAGCGGTATTGGTACACAACGTTAATAAATATTCATCTGTACCTATAGCGCACGCAGTTCATATGAAGGAATCATATGAAAATATGCGAGTTCTATTAGAGCATATCCGTTATAATGTATATGGATGGCCCATATGTGCAGATTTAAAGGTAATAGCCCTTCTTCTTGAAATGCAAATGGGATATACCAAATACTGTTGCTTTCTTTGTGAATGGGACAGTCGTGCGCGAGATCGTCATTATGACCAGAAGGAGTGGCCACTACGTCAGGTATTAACTCCGGGCCTCAAAACATTGTTCATGAACCACTAGTTGATCCCAAAAATGTGTTGCTTCCACCTTTGCATATTAAGTTGGGACTAATGAAAAATGTTGTGAAAGCTATAGATCGAAATGGAAGAGGGTTTCTACATTTAAAACAAACATTTCCGAGACTTAGTGAGGCAGAAATTAAAGAGGACATATTTGTGGGTCCACAAATACCGAAAATCATGAAGGATGATGTATTTGACAATGCTCTAAATGAAACTGAATTACGAGCCTGGACTGCTTTTAAATCAGTTACTGCAAATTTTTAGGCAATGTGAAGGCGGACAATTATAAAGATATTGTGAGTGAACTAATTAATGCTTATAAAGCAATGGGATGTAACATGTCTCTAAAAATTCACTTTTTGGATTCTCATCTCGTTTTTTTTCCCGAAAATTTAGGGCGGTAAGTGATGAACATGGTGAACGGTTCCACCAAGACATTTCTGCTATGGAAAAACGGTATCAAGGCAAATGGAGTGCCAATTTGCTTGCTGATTATTGCTGGACATTGTTAAGAGATACTTCAGGAACAACATATCGCCGTAAAACATCGACAACAACATTCTGAGATTAATGTTTATTTGAGTGTTTATTAGTACTCTAACACACATATCTTTATATTTTATGAGTATAGGCAGCAAATAAAATGCCTTATTGCAAGAAAACAGTGGGTGTTAGAAAAAAAGCGAATGCTATTTCCGGCTTTTTGGGTATTTGGGTACGTTTTACATAATAACCACCTTGTTTTGTCCATGTTACAAAAAATTATTTTAATTTTGTTCACCAGTGTTATCGGACAGACAAATCAACAGACGGACCAACGGAAATGGGTGACTTGGTTTTTCGTGATGTACATATCGTATAATATCCAACAAAAATAATATCTCATTTCTAGACTGACTTAATACTCCCACGCACTAATATAAATCCATTGATATGATTGTGATATATGAAAGTTGACAAAAAAGTTTAGATTCTTGCAAAAAATTATCGGAGACACGAAAACTAAAAACTAAAACTTTTCTGGACGTTTTTAAATCGTTCGTGTTTCATTCATACTTTGACTGATTTTTAAAGTTCACAAAGCTATTTCATTTCAAGTTCATATAATCATGCACTATCCAAACTGTCAAAAACAATTTCAAAATAAAACTTTTCCATGACTATAATATTAGTAGGAAGTATGAATTAGTACTGCGTAGCAAGTACAAAATCAACTAACTCAGTTGACGGCATACTGTTAATTGAAATATAAACAATTCACCCTAAATCTCGACGACAAACTGGTCGCTGATTTTAATTACATTTTGGAGCAATGTTCATCAAACTGTGTTAAAGTATTTAAATGGTCCCTTAATTTACCAGGTTTCTGTAATTGGCCACCGAATTCATAAGCAAATGAATGCGGTGAGGGAGTTCATTATTTTTCTTGGAAACTGGATTACACTTCGAGATAACTCAAAGTCAACAATTGATACCGTGACTTCTACATGAGAATATTTGCTGAGTATTGGTATGATGAGCAATCACGCATTAATAAGAACAAATCCTAAGTTTGATAAACATATCATTATCTGTATTGCTTGATGATGATGTTACTTCTATACGTACAACATTTGGAGTTAATGTTTATCCGCCCGAAGATACTTTCTTTTTGATTTCGTGAATACAGCATATTCCTTAGAAGATTTTCAAAATCAATAAAAAACACTACACATTTTAGGAAACATATTTTTATTGAAAATGAATTACCGGATGGCCGGATTTCATTTATTTAAGGATTACGTTATGATAATGATTAACTTAATCTGATATATTCCCGTGTCCAAAAAATTATCCGGGATAAGATGAGATTCCGTACCCTCATCTATGGAAATTTGTCACAGCTGTTTCTCTATTTACTTTGAAAATATTAGTGTCTCATAGATGGCACTGACTACATTAGTATATACATATAAGTATATAGGTGGCTGCAATGCAGGAAGGGATATTGTGAAATGACATACGTAACAATGTCATATATTAGGGCTTTCTGACATGACAGGATTTGAAATAAATAAAATAATATATTATATTCTTTAGTTTTTGAGGTTGACGTTAACGAACGTTCATCATGCAAACCAAATAGATACCTTTATTTTACATGCTGCAGATGACATATTGATATGGAAAGAAGAGAAATCAAGTACATCCATCGGAAGAAGCTGAATAATTAATCTGCGCAAAAATGCAATTCGTTAAAACCAACCGCTTTCATGAATGTTCAGACTTGAAAACTTAGATGGTTGTTTTATTGTCTTTGTACGAAATTTAGCACTCAACCATTTGGAATATGAAGATGTCTGTATTTAAAATTATTTTGTTTGCCGTGATTTATTACTATTTTTTATTTTTAACGAATACCTAAGTATAGAACCAATTCAGTTATTTTCCTCAATTCTATACTCATCAACATTTCTGTAATAATATTAGAATGCTTAAGGTATTCACATTGTCCGGATCTCTCCACATTATGCAAAATGTGACTCCATGGCTGCTTGTAAAGAAATAGAGGACATCTATATGCTTCGTTTTTAAAAAAATTTTTATCCTTGAATAAAAATTTTAGTCATTCTGTAAGACACTACAACACCTTGTACCTCGATAAGAAAGCATTGTAGGATTCATATTTTCAGAGATTTTTTAGCGTTATTTGTGGGAGTTTTTTCTGCACGACAAATACAGCAAATATTTTTTTGTAGTAAATGTATAAGGAAGCTCGTTTTTTTTATTAGAGACTGTATCAACTCATGGTGGATGATTACTCAAGTTTTGCAGTTGATGGTTTTCAAAAGAGCGTTTTCATGTCTCAACCATTATGTAAAATGTAGAGAAATCATTATAAGCTCCTGAATGTTATCAAAAGTTTCAAACGCTGCTGATATAAGATATAGAAACCATAACGCTTTATCATACATTTTAGAGATTGTAAAAAGCTTTGATAGCCCATTTCCTTGGCTATGCCTTTTGCCAAGCATTTTACGAATGTCAGCATACCTTTTCGTGTGTATCCGGCAGCACTGTACGTGCTTGCACGCGGCTCGAGCTTCAGCCCAGCTGCTCAGCTGCTGGCCCAACTGCTACACGTACCAGTTGCAGCTGTACAGAGGCTTCCTGTCGTTCGAAGCTGGCTTTGCGATGAGCCCAGCCACTGCAGGCGGAGCCTTCAACTGCAGCTTCTTGCAGCTACTCATCTCTGATGTGGTGACACTTCCTTACAACACTGCCTGGAAAAGAAACGGATGATGTCAAGTAGGTTGCCTCTTTTTACTTTCTACGCCCCTGGAAAGTATTATAATCGCAAGAAATTTCAGAAATGAGATATTGTTTTTTGGATGTTATATAATCTGTACATCACAACGATCCATCGATTTGTTGGTTGTCTATCGCTGTCTGTCCGGTAACCCTTGGATCGTCCATAACATGGAACGTACCGCTTGATGAAATTTTCACAGGACATGACTATTATGTCAAGGACTAAAAACCTTTGTAGTTTTTGGAGATCGATCCGGTAGCGGCGGCATACAGAAATAAAGATCGCTCAAGCTTCGTTTTTTTGACGATTCAGAGGCCCCTGATCATTCCGCCAAACATTTTTGTATGGGTTAAAAATCGGAGGCTGAGGGTCTGCTGCGGAAGGGGTTTATCTCATTTCTTTGTGACAATATATTAATACACTTCCAGCCTCGGTAATTTTATGCACCTATTGGTAAATATTTCAAATATCATAGGTTTATCCTGTACATTTGCCATTAAAATAAACATTTACGATTCTGTTTTCGTTTGACTGCATCACCTGCGTTCTCGATCTCGATTTATAGTTTCGTGACTGGCGCTTATGGTATGGTTGACTGGTGTGGTTCAGCAATGATGTTCGATACTTAGCGCAGAGAATAAACTAGTGTTAAACTATGGAGACTGGTTGTAGGTGCCGTTTAGACTGACTTGTTCTATTTATTTATTTTGTTATACATGATTGTAGCTAGCTCAGATGGACTAACTTGGGCCAAACGGAATTCTTAATGAAATGATCACAGCGTTACATGGAAAGTGTACAGTCAACCTACTCGACACAATTTTTTTATTTGTTTTGCACTTGTTCTTACACTACCTTTTCTATTCACAATTTTCAGCATTTTGCGATATAGTCAAATTCAAAATGCCTCTATTTTGTAACGTGTCGTACTTTTTCATTATCCAGACCTCCATCTTGTAAACAGTTGCAAGATTTTATTGATCTGATCTTAGTTCTGAATCTAGGGCCTTGCTGCCATCTCATTCTCATGTATCCTTGCCTTGGCTTTCCGGTTGTAGCTAATTAGTTGTAATTTTCACCTTTTCTAATTCTTGATTTCGTATAAAAGGTTAGTAGTACTCGTACATATTCGTTATTCCGACAGCAAGTCCAACATTGCCTGAAAAGCTTTCGTCATCACTTTCGAGTTACATATCTCGTTTTTCCCCTTGTGGCATATTTTTTCCAGTCCCAGCCAACATATTTTTGCATGTATCGCAGGCACAAGCTGGATATGATTCCAGCTATGATTTATTCATGATGCAGGCTTATGCTGCGGACGCTTGCGCCCTTGTTAGTTCGGGCAATATCTTCACATCCGATGGAAAGCATTCTGATTCGGATTTTTTGCATAATCTTGTTCAAAAAGGTCGCCTTATAACGAATCTGCATGTTGCCATGCTCAAATTTGCGTCAAAACGTCTTTAAATATTTTTTTTAACATATTCCAAATTTATTTCTAGCGCCGTTCAAAGTGTTTTTAGTTTTTTCAGGACATTCTGAACAAAAAAAGTGCTCTAAAGTATACAGGGTGTTTCAGTTTATTGTTGCATAACTTTAAGATTCGATAGAACTTTTAAAATTAATGCATAAAGTCTATATAAATATGGGTCGAAAAATGCGTGGCTTCCAAAATACAGGGTGTTTAAATTTGCTTTTTAAAATAGTTTTTTTAACTATTTCGAACAATATTTGATGTATAGGTAACAGTGAAAATTGGTATACAAGGGTTTTTTGGGACGACAAAACGAACCATGGGCATAGTTTTACTGTAGCCGCTAGAGGACGCTCTCTACTGTACCTGTAGTGCAATTTTTTGCTTTTTGAATAAAAAATTGATTCTTCGCACTTTTCTGCATAAAAAAGCTGTCATGTGAGTTTTCGTTACAGTTAGCCGTTTTTGAGATATTTCGATTTTTAAGGTTCGATGCATTTTTAATTATTTATGGGAAAATCATATTTTTTTACATTTTTGATTTGGGCATTACAAGTAATTAAGATGATCGTTTAGATTGTGTTTTTTAACACAGCAATAATTCGTAACTCCAAATAAACACAAAAAACAGAATATTAATTTGTTTTATTTTCCAATGTTATTTTTAACAAATTAAATTAATTATTTACAACTAAAATGCTATTGGATAGTTAGGACAAACATACAAAACCTAAAGTAGTTGCTCGAAATGTAAACCCAATTGTTCAATACACAATTCACATCTACGAATGATCGAACGTGGTATAGCATTATTCAAATAAGGCCTTATTTCATCACATGTATTCCTGATTCTGTCTATTAGCATATCTCTTGTGGTTACGGGAGTCTGGTACACTTTTTCTTTTAGAAATCCCCACACAAAGAAATCTAATGGATTTAGGTCAGGGGATCGTGGAGGCCAGGCGACTGGTCCTCCACGGCCGATCCATCTTTCTGGATAATTTTCGTCCAGCCAGTTTCTAACTATTCTCGAATAATGAGCTGGACAACCATCAAGCTGGAACCATGCCAATCTTCTTAAATCTAACATAACATCATCCCACATATTTGCATGTTCGGCCTTTAAAAATTCGAAGAAGGTCGCAGCATTTAACCTTGCAGGCAAAAGGTAGGGTCCAAATAGTCGATTACGGTAGATACCAATCCACACGATCACACTAAATTCATGCTGAAAATTTCTTTTCCCAACTGCATGCGGATTTTCATGCGACCAAATATGTTGATTATGAAAATTTACCACTCCACGTGTAGTGAAGCATGACTTATCGGTTCATAAAACGTTACACTTGTGGTCGGATCTCTATCAAACTCACGCAGAATCATACGAGTAAATCTGCGCTGACGAACATTTATGTTTTGATCCCTTTGGAGATTTCCAAAACCATTTTCAATTATTTGGCGATGCACTCTTACAAATACTGAGCGAGTTGGATGTCGTCTGTTTGGAAATCTTCGTGCGTATTCTCTGGCTGCTTCTGTTGCGTTTCCATTTACAAAGCCATACACAAAATTAATATCCGCTAACTCTTGATTGGAGAATAAAAATGGCATTTTTATAAAACTTACAAAAAAAAACAGGTAAAAGGAACTAAATTTCGTGCATTCACAATTGCAAAAAAACGTTTCAGGTTTCAACAGACAACAAAACTAACTGTCAACTAATTGACGTTTAACCTTATTCTGCTTTCAATTTCAAAAAAATTTGCAGGCACAGCCTACTTCTAAAAATTATCGAGATACTGACTATCTCAAAAACTATAACGAAAATTCACAAGAGAGCTTTTTTATGTTGAAAAGTGCGAAGAATTAGTTTTTTTATTCAAAAAGCAAAAAATTGCACTAAGAAAATTTTTTCGGTCATTTTAATACACTACAGGTACAGTAGAGAGCGCCCTCTAGCGGCTACAGTAAAACTATGCCCATGGTTCGTTTTGTCGTACCAAAAAACCCTTGTATACCAATTTTCACTGTTATACATCAAATATTGTTCGAAATATTTAAAAAAAACTATTTTAGAAAGTAAATTTAAACACCCTGTATTTCGGAAGCCACGCATTTTTCGACCCATTAATTTTAAAAGTTCTATCGAATCTTAAAGTTATGCAACAATAAACTGAAACATCCTGTATAGTTTTCGAGACGTAGGCGATACAACATTTGGAGAAGTGCGAAATATATCATCTTCGACCCCGAAAAACAAAATGAATAAATGATAATATTAATGTTGCCAAGTTCATAAGTATTCTTAGCAAAATACCAAAACATCTGGCGAGTTATTGTTATTCTTAAACTTTGTTTTTTAATTATTAACCAAGGGCGCTCAGTCTGTTCTTTGCGTGAGTACAGGAGTGATGCAACATCTATAGGCGGCGCCAGAACCATTAAGAGCGCGCGATTAAAAAACAAAGGTTTACAATAACGATACATCCTAAAATGATTTGGGATGTTAATGAATGTTTGAAGAACATCGGCAACATTCAAATTTTTCTTTTCTTCATATTGTTTTTAGGGGCCGAAAGTGGTATATTTCGCACTTTTTCAAATATTGTATCGTTTATATCTTGAAAACTATCAACTTTAGAGGAAAGTTCTAAATCACGTTTTGTTCAAAATATTCCAAAAAATACCTAAGCACACTTTGAGCGGAGCAAAAATAACATTTTAGGAATTTGCCTAAAAAAAGGTTAAACATTTTTTTTTTTGTAAATTTGGGCCTGGTAATATGACTATGTAGCGCTTTGCGGTACTGATATTGGCTATCATATTCTATGGAGCGATTCATTCTCATTTTTTTCTTTAAGCAGAGAATGCTATGTCAACTTTGAGCGATATTTATTTATTCCGTTTTTGGCTCTTTTCTCTGTTGCCACTGGACCAATTTTCAAAAACTATAACTTTTCCGTCCTTGGCATAGTAGCAACTTATGTGCAAATTTAATCAAAATCGAAGCGGTACTTCTCAAGTCATAGATGAACCAAGTATTAGCGGATAGTCAACCAGACCGACAGATCGAAGGAAACAATATAATTAACATGTCATATAACATCAAAGAAACACAATATATCTCGTTTTCAAAATTTTTCGCGATTGCAGTGCCGTAGAAAGTAAAAAGAGATGAACCGCTAAGACAATGTATATTTTTATATCGGACGTTTTCATTGAGATATAGAACTTTAAATGAAAGAAAGGAGGCATTGTATAGAGTGGGATTTTTTGAGGACACGAGCGCCGGCCGAACTTCTTTATGCTCTTGAGCAGTCACTCTTTATTTACAGTATAGATGTCCGTAGGCACGTATATATCTCGGGTGTAATAAACGTTTATTTGTCTGGGAGATACAAAAATCCCTATTAGAATGGTTTCGCTTGGAAACTCTACAGGGTGTTTCAGAACTATGGGATCAAACTCTAGGGGTTATTCAGTGTAAAAGTAGAAAGCATTTG